GTCAGGTGAAATGAGCACGCGATTGGTATAATACGAGCTGACGTATTACCTGATGGTAAGCAATCGGTGCCGCCCACAGACACCCGCAACAACGGAGAAGTTAGAAGTGTGTTGTTATCTATTGTAATTGGGGTGGGGAAGGATTGGATAATATTTAAATACAACACACACAAAACTCTCAGGGTCAATTACGTTGTTAAAATTAAACGAAATGGAACGGGCAACGTGTTTTGTTTTAACTTTCCCACAGAAATGAAAAACAAACACACGTTTAACTTATTAATAACAAACAATTCAATGTCCACACGAATTGTTTTTGGTATAACAATAAATTGACGAAACTTCATTAATACTCAGAATAAATTATACGGGTTATAATAACTTTTCCGGCGCTACGTTACGGAAACTCGAACCTCCGGATACAGCCTCTCTACCGTCGCCGAAAATTATTTACTTACTCGTATTATTAAATTTATTTACTCGAAAAAGGAAATGTAAATTCGATTCGTTTTCACCGATAAATAGATTCACTTTAACGAAATGAAAACTTAACTTACTCAATAAAATCAACCGGCAATGTATTTGTGTCTTAATAGAAAAAATTACCAGCAATTGAAGACAATACTAATAACAAACGATTTTACAGCACACACTTCCTTATACCTTGACTTATTTAATGTTATATTCATTTCATTTAAATGTGTGCGCGAAAATAAATGTTTTTTCTTTCTTTCTTTCATATTCACAGCATCATCCTGGAAGAGCTCACTGCTGCGCCTTTCTCACTCGGAGAAGGTTTAAGCATTAATCACCACGCTAGCTCAAGGCGGATTGGTGATTTTAAACCTGTAATTAGAAATTACAAGTCGAGTCTTCTCGACTTGTAATTTTTTCCTTCACTGTATGTCATTGGTGTCTAAATAATCATAAAATATACACATAACTTGGAAAAAGTAACATTCAACTCTTTTTGGTGTCCCATTTTCTAGAAATTTTCTGCATCACGCCATACAAAAACTACAACGATGAATCAAATCTCGGTTACAGAAACAAGTTATAAGTTGTTATAACGGTCCGAATTTCGCTAATACTTATAAATAACCAGTCTTAAGTCACACCTGTAGTATGTGGCTCAAATAAATAATTAAAACATGTTTTTGTACCATATATCATTATAAAAACGATACAAAATTGTTTCAATCATGGCGCCCGACGCGTTTGACATAGTTCGTTTAAAAATGGAACACTTTTCTTACTGGCTGGTAATTTTGCTCATCAATCATTGTGACGGAAAATGGCATTTAGTTTGTGGTCATTCGTGGTTAAGCGATTTTAATTATAAACTGTAGTTATGACATGAGGATTTTGCTTGCAAAGAGGTTGACAGTCGTGAAGGAGGCATTACATTTATTTTTAAAATGTTCCATTTTAAAAAGGAACACAAATTCTGTATTTTATTGAGAAAGTTTATAATTAAGTAAGTTTTTTTCTATTGAACCCGTTTGTTACTCCATTCTCGGAAAATTTACTGTCACTATGAATAACAATGGCACCTAGTGGTCTTATAAGATCCTTTATCAAAGACTGTTAGGAGTATCACCTTACTAGAAAACCTTCTACCTGTCCATCCGTCCATTCATCAAAGGACCTTTGTTGTGTTGAGTAGTGCTGACTACCGTTATCTGAACAGATAATAAAATCGTAGTAAACATTAAAAACAGCTTTCACTTTTGCATCAGTATTACTATATGTATGTGTATATACATGTTGGCATTTAGAATTTTGACTTCGACGTTGTTATTAGTATTAATATATAATACTAGTTTCTGCCAGTCCCAGACTAAAAAAATGACTATATTTATTTCCTGATTGTGTTCAGTTGTTATTCTTTTTCAAATAAACAATTCTACTATTTGTAACTACAATATTACTATTTAAATGAGTTATATGAATGTTATACCATTACCATAAAAGAAAAAACGCTCGTAAAAAGTTAGTAAACAAGTACAATATTCGATATTCATTTGTTTAAATCGTACAAAAAGAACAAAATAATATTTGTACCTACAATACTTCATTTTACTCCGACCATTTTATTTTTATTTTATCACCCATAAATCGTTGTTTTATGAAACTCGCCAGCGCAACAGGTTGAAATCGATACTACGCACATTTGACCTAATTTCAATATTAGCCATAACCACGGACAATAATAGTACAGCTCTCCTTGTAAAGGTCAAAGGCGAGCTTCTACATAACTTGCTACATACGCACCATATGTTAGAATGTTCCCTACACAGCCTTCTCCGTACGTTTGATGTTGAAAATGTATGTTGGAGCCATGTTTGAGCTAACTCGCCGTTTAGGTACAAATACCTAACGTATTCATGTATGTGAACCTTAATTATGAATTTTGTATAAAGGAAGGTATTATACAGGGTTACTTTTGTTGTTCGGGTTTCGCTTTGAAACAATAATGTTAGTTTTTGGAGTGAAAAAAAATAAAGATTAAAGGTTAGATGAGAAGGGGATTAAAACATCCTAAAAATGTCTAAATGCAACAAGTCTTGTAGTAATCCCAAGAGTTTTCGTTGATCTCACTTCTGTTATAAGGTTAATGCTTCAAGGTTTTTTTTTGCAAATGAGCTGACCGAGTACCTGATTGTAAGCATTCACGGCCGCCCATGGACTCTCGAAACGCCAAAGGAGTCAAGAGTGCGTTGCTGACCTTTTGGGGATTAGGGATTGGAAGGATTGGATATTCATTAGGGAAGCTCTAGGTACCTCTAGCCAAAATTTGGCCTCGGACGCTACATGGGTTAAATACGGCTCTGGCAAGATCTGTTTGCTTATAATATATAGTCAGATAAGAAGCAAATAAAATCAAAGGTCATTACGATAGTTAATGACTGTATCATAATTCGTCAATCTAATTTTGTTTGATCTAAGAGTAAATACGAATTAGTCTTACCAATGATAAACAATTAAGACCTATTTTTTAATGGAATAGGTCGGTAAACAAGTTGCAAGTGCGTTGCCAACCTTTCTTAGGTTTTTAGGGATTTAAGGATAAGGTTTGGGGATTGTGGATGGGGAACCAGGATGGGACCTCACTTATATATCGAAATATGTACAACACAAATATGATTTCACGCCAGTATTCTTTGAGGCCGTGGTGTCATTCCAGTTGAAGCAGCTCATTTGTGGCGAAGTATGGTTCTCCCATATTCAAATGTGTGTTTTCTTTTATTTCATTTTTAAAAAAACGTTGCTCCACACTAAGATTTTCTCCTGTGTCGTGTATGCGTTTACAAACATACAATTTCACATGCACATCACACCCAGACCCGGAACAACAATTTGTGGATCACACAAAGAGTTGTTCCGTGCGGGAATCTAACCCGCGACACTTAGCGCGGCAGCCAGTTGCCCAACCACCGCGCCAATCGTGCAGTCAACATGGCAGTTTGTGTGTGTCTTATTTTATTAGTCTTTGTTTCGTGGTAATTTGTTTTGTATCACTTTTGTATTTATAGATACATAGTTTGGAATCTAGAGAGTGTTATAAATCAAGAAATCTAAAGATGTTAATATATTAATTTAAAAGAAACTAAATTAGATCAACAGTTGTAGGATAGCCATAAATCTAACTTAGTGTTTACTTCTTTATTGAACCTTATTAAGCATTCTGACGTTTTTCTAAAACCTAGATTTCTTTGATCTAAGCTTTCTTTCTAGTTTTTCATTATGTGTGAATATATTAATTATAGGTGTTGATTAATGTGTTTTTGACATATTTAGGACGATTAACATCATTTAAATTCTTTTCTGTTTTGTGATCTATTGATTTGTGATAGACCGAAATATATTCATTGCATGATTTGCATAGGTGTGTGTTAGATATTTGTACAAATGTTTTATCTGTACAAATGTACTCTTTAAGGGAAATTATGGAATATTTAAAAGCAATTCAAAAATACTTTTCGCTAAAATTGTCTTTCTATTGTCATGTGTTAAAACGTTAGTCATTGTCTATCCTCGTCTCCAGACGAATGAAGCAGTCAATGAAAGAAACAGTTTATACTATTGAAGATAAAGAAAATAAAATCCTTCCAATCATTGTTACAATACACGAAGAAAAATAACCCATTCGTCTCTAAAAGAATCCAGATCATACATGACTTTACATGAGGCGAATTAACCTAGTTGTAACAACATTTATTTATTTATTTATTTCATTCAAACATTGTTGTTGGTTTGGGTTTTCTATCTTCTAAGTTTTCATCTACCTTTTTGTTTTTCATTCTGTTACGCGCCTTAATATATTAATTTATTAGAAGACTTTTTTGTTTTTATATTAAATAATCGTCAAATTACTTTTACTATAAGTAATATCAAGTCTAGTATGTAGCCTGAGTGTACGGAACGGGCTGATCTTTCATAAGTAAGTCTCAACACTTCCTTTCGTCTTACTAAGGAATGTTTTAGTTCTAGTCTATTCAATTCACTGTCAAGGTTTGAAAACTATATTCACATTTGATATAAGTAAGTCATTCCCAAAGGCACTTAACTGAGACAAATCCAAAGGTACTTAGTTATCAGTTAAATAAATCCCATTAATAATCCAAAGGACAAATATACTTTAAACAAAATTCCGATCACTAGTGTGTTAACACAACTTTAAACCAAAAAAACAAACAGGAGAAGCCATTAAGCATTTATGTAACAAAACAATGAGTCACACAGATAATGTTATGCTGCTAGCATTCCCATTTACTGGTGTCCCATACAAAATGATAAGAATTCCCTTTTTGTTAGTACGATAGTGGCATTCGGTTCACAAATACGTTTAAAACACTTATTCTGTGATTTTAAAACTTATTTAAAATTATATTTTAATCGATGAGTATTAATTTATTATTTTCTACTTGGCTGTTTATAAAACCGCTAACTTTATACCTAATAAAAACAAATTGACACTTCTTTTTTCGAATTTGAATTTAAACAATTTAGTGTTATATTTTAAAATGGCGAAGTTGGTAGTTTTAGTGTTGTGTGTTGTGCTTGTGTACACGATATCGGCAAAGTATGTCGATAAAAGGAAGTGTCCTGAAGTTAGAGCAGTGCCACATTTCGATTTGCCACGGGTTAGTAAGAATAAAATTCAATTATATTTAATTGTTTATTTTAACCTAACGATTTTGTAATCTGTGTTCGTTAAAATTATGATTTGTTGATTTTCTAACGGCAATTTTGTATCGGCAGCGTGTGCCTAGCATAGTGACTGTCTGTTTGGGTATTCTCTGGAATATTCTGGAAGTTTTAATAGATATAAATATAAATTGAAATCCCATTTTTAGAAAAATACTAATAAATCTCCAATGGTATTTACATAAAAACAACCTAGGATATGTTTAAATTAAATAAATTCAAAAGCTAGTTTTTAATCGCCGACACAAATAATTATGATATTTTGATTATCGACATTTTTATCGATATTATTAATATTTCATTTTGGCGGAAACTAGTTGTAAATATTCGATTATAGCTAAGTAGGTCATTGTAAAAGTAATTAATTTGTGAATGCACGATTTCGTACTAAAATCTGTGTGTGTGGCCAGTGGGCAATCCACTTGTCTTAAATTAATTGTAAAATGAAAACTGTGAATGACCACAAAATTATTTGTAACCCACTTTTATTATGAATTACTCTAGTCTATGATTAGCCAAATCTTTAACTAGCTAGATGTACGTATTCTCGATATAAAACTTCGACTCGACAAAAGGAAATTAATGGAATTCCACCAAGTTAAACTTCAGGGACACGGGTAAACAAAAGCCAGGTACCTAAACTAGCGACGAAACTGTATCTGAAACGTGACTAGAACACATTTAAAAAGTTTATGAAACTAATGAAATAGTACATAGGAGATTTTATATAATATAATCACTATCAAACAAAAAGGTTATGTATATAGACATGCTAGAATGTTGATATAGGAATAGGAATAGGAATTTATCAACTATGATTTATATAAAGCCTGAATGTATTTCTAAGAACAATAGGTATCTTACCATATTTATTTTAAAAACATTGCCCCAGGTTAAGATTTTTACCTGTGACGTGGATGCATTTAAAAAACACACAATTTCACTTACACATTATACCTAGACTCAAAGCAACAGTTTGTGAATCACACAAATAGTGGTTCCGTGCGGGAATCGATCCCGGTCGCGACGTGTCGCGCCGGAGTCAGTTGTTCAGCTTCCGCACCAATCGTACAGTCAGTCCACTTAATAATAGAATTGATTTTTTTGCTTTATGTACCAAAACATAGGAACTTCTAACATAATCGTATTCTATGACATCGATGATCGATAGCGTAACATGTGGTGCGCAGCAGAATGACAAACAGTTTATTAGGTAGTCGATTGCTTACATTAGAATTAGCCGTAATACACCTAAGCCGAATTATTGCAACAATGGATGTAATGTCCTTATTTCGTAGGCTTAATAGAAAAGAAGCTTATCACAAAAAATTAGGTATTTGAATCTTAAAACGTGTTTCAATAATAAGGTACAATTTTGAAACACCCTCGGTTATGAGTTAGTTCTCCATTAAACATTCAATTAATTTTACCTTCTTATTCTCAAAACCATTAATGTAGGTATAAACTTTTACATTCAACACATAAGTTTCCGTGAAAATATAAGTGAAAACCGGATCAAATAGAAAACGAGTTCCGTGTGTTTTTCGAGAGAGTAAGTGCTCCCATTTCCTCTTCTTATATCCTTAGATTTAACTTTCTGAGTAAAACAAAGTGCTGTAAGGTCAAGTTTAAACGTTCTCAGGTATCAGATTACTATTGATTTTGAACACGAAGTTTTCCATTCTTGGATAAACAAAGGTCTTTGTGTTTATGAAGGGTCTTTTCTCTCGTGCTCGTGCCATTATCAGCTTTATGTAGCCTACTAATATTATAACCGCGAAAGTTTGTAAATGTTGATGGATGGAAGCTGTTACAAAAAACAACCAAAGGGATCTGAATGAAATTTGGCACATAGGTAGCTCTAAAATGGTCTGAAATAATGCATAGGCTACTTTTTACCCTGGTTCTGTAACCTAAGCCACTCGCTAGTAGAAACCAGTTTTATAAAAAAAAACCTATAGATAAATAATTCTATTTAATTAACCTGTGATTATAATATCTTTTGTTTCTGATATTTATGTAACTAAGTCATAGTTAACAGCCTATTAAATTTCATAACTGGATAGCAATTTCAAAGATAATATGATACTATATCTACCCTGTATTTGTAAAGACTATAAAAAAATATTATTACGTACGCCAAGTATATAAACAACTTACTATACCAATTTAATTATACTTTCTGTACAATATCTATCTACAATCTCAATATCTCTGTTCCAACGAACATTAACGACTCAATAACATAAAATAATCGTAAAAATCTTGCGAACAACGTAATCGAAATGTAATGAAACGAGAAATCCCTGATGGAGAGCTCTTTTACAATCAACTACGTCAAGATTTCTGTTTACATTCCCGTATTGGAGGATCATTGGAGGATCTTTCGATGTGATTGTGATGTTCATTGGGACGGGATCTTCTGCCTAGTGATCCGAAAGCGACAAGTTTATAGGGAAAGCTTGAAAAGAAAACTATTTTCTTCGAGCATTTTTTTTTATTGTACGGCAAACAAACTGACGGATTAACTGATGGACGAGTTACGAGTGCGTTGCCGACCTAATGCGGATCAGGGTTATGGGGATTTAGGGATTAGGGAAAGGAAAGGATTGGGCCTCCGGTAAACCACTCACACAGCGAAACACAACGCTATGGTTTTTTCACGTCGGTTTTCTGCGAGGCCGTGGTATCACTCCGGTTGAGTCAACCCATTCGTGCTAAAGTATTGACAACGTTTTTTTTTTCGGTGGTAGATATATTTTTTGTGTCAAATGGCTGTTTTATTTTGGAGTAAAATTAGTTATTATGACACTATCAACATATATGTAAGTAAGTTCATGTTGATTTTTATGTAGGAACAAATGACCATGCGTAATAAGTATATTTCTATCCAAGTTTCAACACAATCGGTTATAAGTACCGAGCGTTAACAGTTCGTTATGCGTAGGCGCCGGACACGGCTTGATAAACAAACGCCCCGTTCAATTACCCAATGAGTTGCAAACCTGAATATGTTTTCATTGTCAATCAAGTTTTATAGTGTTGTGTGAAGTTTTGCACTTTTATTATCAAATTAGTTTTAATTATGTTTTTCATGTTTTTTTCGCTCATCGAAACGTTTTTCCAACTTTTACATGTGTTGGATAAACGTAAAAGAGTATTATCCAGAATTCTATAAAATAAAGACCAAAAATATGCGGTATATAACATACTTAACCTTCTTATCCAAAGCTATTTGGGATCAGCACAATATATCTTCGTAGCTAGCAGTCTCATTCACATCCCTCTCTTAAAAAATTCTGTTAAGAAAAAGTCGCATTGGTAGGTAATTGCCAGATTACGACGCCTATGTACTACGCTTCTCATGCAAGACAGCACCCTCTTTCATCAGAAGCGGCCATAGCCCCCGAGCCACATAAATGATAAATTCAAAAAATAGCTACTCAAAAACTGAACATGTCCAAGAACGAAAAAAAATTATTATTAAAAAAACAAAATACCCGACTGCACACTAAAAAAAGAGTAAAACAAGCCCCACAATACAAATTTACTGAATATAATTTATAAATGTTGATGGAAAGCATCGCAGGCGGGGACCAACAGAGGCTTATTTATAGTCATTTCTGTTGTGCACCATTTAGCAGAATTTTCGTTGGTGGCGGTCAAGGTGGTCCCCGCCTGCGATGCTTTCCATCAACATTTATAAATTATATTCAGTAAATTTGTATTGTGGGGCTTGTTTTACTCTTTTTTTAGTGTGCAGTCGGGTATTTTGTTTTTTTAATAATAATTTTTTTATTTATAACTTTTTAGCTGTTTTTATTTAACGAAAATGTTGTAGATGTAGAAGACTATGTATATGTAAGTACCATTTTAAATTATTTCGACGACATTTTGCTCCGCACCGCGCCGCGCGCCGCATGCCAGGCCACGCCCTATCTTTTTGCTTGCTAACGCATGAGTTGCTTTGCGTTGACGCAGAATTAACATGTTCCCGTGGGAATTTTGAAAAAAAACGTATCCTATATTAATTACTCCCGTGATTGAAATGAATCTAATGATACCGCATACATATTTTTTTAAAGGGAAATTTAGAAAAAATATTATTATGTCTTTATCCCGTGGGACTTTTAGGATAAAATGTATCCTATGACACTCCCGTAATCAAGACAAATCTAACGATACCTCATACATCAAAATCCATCAAGCCGTTTAGGCTACAGGAGGTCACAAAGGAAAAGACATACATACATACTTACATACACTCGAAAAACATTACCCTCCTTCTTTGGCAGTCGGGTAAAAAAATATCTTTCATAGATATACGTACATTAGTCATCCTTTGTCTACAAGACTACGTCATAACCAGATTACACTAAGACGGGTAACAAGCTCCATTGTTGCATGAACAAGATCTGATCAGCAAGTGTATGGACTGACATCTCAATAGGTATTAGCATACGGGCACAATAGTACTATTATGTACCTATCTATCTGCATTGAAAGTAAATATTTGATCAACAATTTCACTTTCTTTTTGTTAGGCGTAATGGTGATGTAATGCCTAAGTGTTGCGATTGACTAAGTTAGAGAGTTCTAGTTCTAAGTTTTTTGATGTCTAGTAGCTCTGACTCTTATTGCCTTGACATTAAGGATGAGAACAATTTGGTATACGAAATTCTTGTTAATAATATTAAGCATGTGATACCGTGGATATTGTGGATATAATTTCAATACACATTAGGTACCTGGGTAAGAAACAGCATTGAATTTGAAATTGTGTGAAAATAAATATATTGTGTTGCAAGCGCATAATACACTGCGGTCTTGACCTGGAGCAGAAGGTACGGGGTAGGGTTTAAGGGGAAAATACTAAGAAGAGTAGGATGGCAATTGGTAAAAGATCTATGTACCTATACTATTCAAAGGGTCTGGTTATTGTTACACACGATTAGGTTGGGTGTAAAAATTGGAAAACCTTGTACTTATATTTTTTTTAAATGTTGCCCCACGCTTTTCTTTCATGTTATGTCGTGGATGTGTTAAAAAAAGTACAATTTCACATACACTCGCAAAAAGTTGTTCTGTGTAGGACTCGAGATCGCGACACCACGTCTACATTTAAATTAAGCACTCAGTGCTATTTTGTGCTTTACAATTTATTTCGCTTTCTATTTGTAAAGGATAATGCGTTCTTATGAATATATATCTTGATATATCTTGATTACATATAATAAGATTGTTTGGATTACTGCAGCTTTTACTTTCACGTTTCGTTTATTTAAAATAGCGATATGATGTGTATTTGGATTTGCAAGGAAAGAAAGTTATTTGACAATTTGCTGATGAAATTATTTAAGTTATTTTATTCTTTTCTATTATGATAAATTAATAGTAGGTGTGTACATGTGTACCTACATGTATTTACAAAGAAATAAAGAATAACAACGCATTTTTAATTATAATGTATGTACCTAAGTACTAATACCTGAATTTAAATCATTTATTCCCAAAAAAACAGTAAAGCCACTTACATGAGAATACAAAATTAACATTTAGTTTAATTATCAAATTACCCGCCACCGAGATAAGTAAGTAAAAAACTGTTTACGTAACACAATCGTAACATTATTAGAGACTATAAGTAATTTCTTTAGCCGGTAGGGTAGTAAAACAAAAACAGCGAGGATATCTAACAACAAATAACTATGTATTTCATTAAATAAATGTTTTATATGTCACATATTTTTAATACGCTTTTATCTCCCCGTAAAAAACCTAGATCAAACAACAAAATTTTTCTCTTTTGCCGAAAGAATTATAGAGAGCAACATTTTTCCAGGAAAATAATAATATAAGAATTTCATACGCCTAACGTCAACCCAATAGCAAAATCACATAACATCGCCTTAGTATTACGTGAAAACTAGGCACTGAATTACCGGAGCTCAAGTATGTAGGAATTTAATACATATTTCTTTGGGAATAAAGCTTAATTTTGTTCACAGATGTTGGGCGACTGGTTCGTAGTAGAATATTATGCGAGCGCTGAAGAGGCTCTTTCGTACAGCTGTATGAAAGCTGTTTTCACTGAAGACGACCACGTTCCTACCGCAGGTCTATAAAAAATTGTACTCTTTATTTGAAATCTTGTTAAAGTTTAAAATAAGTATACTGAATTTTTGATAGACATGTACGTGATGATGTGAACATAAAGTTTATATTTATAAAATAAAATAAAATCTTCTTGCCCCCTTGCGTAACACAATTCAGACAGGACTGATAAATACTTACATAGAAACTAGTTAGTTATAACTCTAATCCCTATTGACTTAAAAATAGAATACTTAATTAAACAATAACGTGATTTTCTTCCCCAGATGGTTCCATAGAGTTTACTCCAGGAGTTACAATGAACTTCACCTACCGTTTCGCTGACGATCCTCTGGGCGAGAATCTGCTTGGCAACATCACTTGGAGGGTCGATTTAAATGAACCAGCACATTGGACACATGCCGAAAAGACATGTAAGTATACAGAGGGTAGCATTTTGAACGAGGGACATAATTCAAGGAGCCGATTTTGGTGCTCATTAACTTATTTCCTCCCTCAATAAATTTATTTCCCTATACAAATCGCAACAGCTGATTGGTCATGTTGCACGAAGACATTTATTTTCGGGTCTGGGTGGTGAGTGTTGTGAATTTGTCTGTCGACACTGAACGACACTGGAAAACATCAACATCAGCGAGACAAAAGTTTTACATAAAAAAAAATATGTTAATCTTACAAAGTGTAAATATTACTGTTAAGAACAAAGCTCTAATTTTAAAATTCATTTGAGTACAATATAAATTCTGAACTTTAGTACTAACCTACACAATCAAATATTTACATCTCTACTTACCAACAAGGGCATACTAAATCAATACTTAACAACAACGAATTCTATGAAACGTAAGACGAGATTCCCTCATCCTTCAAAAATATTTCACAATCAAAGCAACAATAACATCTAAAGGAAACATCGGAACTCCTTGTCCGTAATCTCTTCATAAATCTTTGTAGTCAACCAAAGACCGCATGTATTTCCCTTAAGGGTAATTGTGTATACTTTGTGTCTATGTGAAGACAGCTTTCCTCTTTGCCTCTTAGCCCTCTTTATATAATCCTCCGGCAGGCTACTCCGACACGGCATTCATTATTCTTAGGACCACGTGACAATTAATTAAGATAGGTCCTTCAGTCATTGTTGGGTTTCTTCACTACAAAGCTTTTGTGTAAGTAAACGATGTGAGTAATTAAGTGTGTACCAGAAGTGTTGGGGCTTTGTGGTTGATTTAGAATTGCTTTATTTTATTGCGGTGAATTGATTTTTCGTTGGAGGTTCATAAATTTTATTTTGTTGGGGAAAAATCAACCAATGGTTTCTTTCGCCCAGTAATCGTTACACTTAGTAACGATTACTCAGATAAAAATTAGTTTACTCTTACTCCTAGTAAAAGCCAGGCCGCATTACATCATTATGCTTGCAAATGTACCGACGTGGATTTTCATATACTGAGCTTTAATTTTTATTTAACCTATGTATTCTTTACAAAATGCAGAATCAAATCCGTTAGTTTTTGTATGAGTGTTAAATATTTTGTGCAGGTTGGACTGAACAGTCAAAACCTTATATAACATTGGACTTAAAATATAGTATCTCAATTATTTTAGAAACCGTTTAGGAAAGACTTTAGCCATCCTTCCTCCTATCCTCAATCCTGAAATCCCTTATCCTTAATTTCCTAATAACCTGCAAGAGGTCGGCAACGCACTTCTTGTAACTCCTTTTACGAGTGTCCATGCTTGTTTGCCAGCCTTTGCCAAAAATATATATAATAAATAAATAAATAAATATTTACCATACAAGAGTTTAAGCGCCTCCCACTCTCCCCCACCAAACTTTGAAATATATATTTATAGTTCGCAATTATTTTTATTGTTTCAGATGATGGTATATACAACACATATGTACTAGATACAGAATATAAGACATGGGCACTACTCCTTCACTGCGCAGAGCAGACGGAAGGCGCCAGATATTTGAGCGCATTCGTCCTATCACGAAACACAACGCTGCCGAAGAACGTCATGGCTTATTTAAGGGATAAGTTGCCAAGGTAAGCAGATAAGTGAATTTTCTTGAGTGTGACCACCTAATACTTGGCTAACGCTAACTTCATATGTAAATTACGCTTTGATTCTTAAAGGTAGCCAATAAAACAAAAGTGAAATATAAATTCTCATCTTCTGCTTTCCTGTTGTCTTTTACCCATATCAGGCTAAAATTCCTAGTATAGGCATATTACATTATACATATAATCGGTAAAGTAAACCTAACTGACAAAGAAATAACAATTACTTACTAATTAAAATTGAATGGATTGTTTAAATAGGATTCATTTCCGTAACATTAGTTCAAAATAACTTGAAAAATCGAGACAATTTTTAAAAAAAATATTGAAATAAAAAACTTTTTCTTTCATCGAACGGTACCCACTTGTTCCCTACCAGCTGTGGAGAATGGCCAATATATCTCGTTTATTTCACAAAACTTTTTAACCCTAATTTATTGACTTTACGCCTTCGTTCTCAAAAGCACTTCTTTCAAATTAACAGTATTGACCCCTTGTAGTTCCAGTCTTAGGCAATAATTTGTACTTCATTGATCCTTTGAAACTTACGCTTGAAAAAAGAAAACTCTTTGTTGTAGGGTACACATGTTTCTTTCCCAACTATGTCCCTCCTCTCAAAAGTGAATATCATTGCTTTACACAAACATTATAAAAATACTCTTTGTGCTGGTTTAAAACCTGGAGAGTACCAATGTGACTTTTTCGAGTTATATGTACTTTCTATATATTTATTTAGACACACTGACACGGTAAAGGAAAACATTGTAAGGAAATCTGGAATAATTTGTATTTATAAGTTTGAAATTGCCAATCCGCCTTGAGCAAGCGTGACGATTAATGCTGAAACCTACTCCATGTGAGAAGAGGCCTTTGCTCAGCAGTGGGCACTCATAGTCTAAAGATGTGACATATTTACATTTTAAGTTTTAACGAATAAAGTATTTCAAAAATTCTTTCTTCTTTTCAGATACGACGTTGACGTCAACTACGTGTTCCCGATCCCACATAAAGACTGTTCCACAAAACCACCCATGTTCGATTACTCGCCTATTCTTGTGGAAGTTGGTAGCAAAGTTCCGAAGCGGCCAGGAGTTAGCTACAAAGTGGCATTTGGACATTAAATACCTAGTATATTAATAAAAACATCTAATGTAACAAAATAATGTAAACGATTGGCATTTTTTTAATAATAAAAATGTTTTATTTTTCTCCACAAATTACAAATGGCAATAAAGAGTCAACTTATAATATACTTAGATGTAAAACCGATTTATTGACAGCGGTTATAATTCAAACATTGTAAACTTTACTGAGTTCCTATTTTACATCATTTTTTTTAGTTAGGACGGCCTCATAGGATATCGCCATGAAAAAACCAAGGCGTTGTGTTTCACAATGTCAGTAAGGTTACCGGAGGCCCAATCCTTCCCCATTTTTCATCCCTATTCAATCCCAAAATTGCCAAAACCTCTCATCCCAAAAAGTTGGGAAGCACTTACAACTTCTCAGGTTTTACAGGTGTTCTCCAGTGTGTGTGAACCTAGCTAATCATTGTACAGCAGATCAAAAATAAAGGAGAGTTCTTTTCGCATGCAGCTTAGTTCTATAGTTCCTGATAGTTTTTAGCAATAGTTCTGACGTTTTCACCTTGAAAAACGCCGATTGACGTACTGAACTTCCCGTAGCAGATCATACGACATCAGATCAGAAAGAAATGCGAGTTCCTTTCGCATGCAGTTGAGTTCTACTGTTCCTGATAGTTTTCAGCAATAGTTCTGACGTTTTTACCTCAGAAAATATTTATCGACAGAAAAAGGTACTAACTTCTCGTAATAGATCATTTTGCTGAAGATTACAAGATACAGATAAGAGAGTTCTAACACGAATTCATAATCTGCCAGCACAACACCGTGAGTTCTCGACTCGAATCGAGTTCTGTGTTCTCTGTTGGAGTTCTGATACAAATTCATAAGAACCGAAAGAGTTCTAGCCTTAAAAATTATTTGCAAACACGAAAAATGAATTTTTAGACTTTTAAACAATCTACCATGATCTGCTAGCACCGGAACGTGAGTTCTGGACTCGAATCGACTTGTATGTTGCAGTTCTGATACAAATTCATAAGAAACGAAAGAGTTCTAGCACTTAGCAATTATTTGGATGGATGAAAGATGAATCATTCGACTTTTAAACAATTTACCATGATCTGCTAGCACTGGAACGTGAGTTCTCGACTCGAATCGAGTTGTATGTTGGAGTTCTGATACAAATTCATAAGAAACGAAAGAGTTCTAGCCTTTAACAATAGATGCAAAAGAGTTCTAGCCTTTAGCAATTATTTGAAAACATGAAAAATAATTTTTTCGACTTTTAAACAATCTACCATGATCTGCTAGCACCGGAACGTGAGTTCTGGACTCGAATCGAATTGTATGTTTTTTTTTTTTTTTTTTTTTTGTGAGGGGAAAATCATCAAATGACTTCTCCCGCCCAGGGCCGGGCAGGAGGGAGTGTCAGACTCTTACTGACTAAAAACCCCCCTGTTCCTTCTCCTGCTCTGTGCCGAGGTCGCGGTACCTCATTGCGCTTACCCCGCAACCCCGGCTGAACATCAGCCCTTTAGGGCCCCGTCTGTGGTGGTCTATTGGCTCTTTGAGGCGCGCGCGGAACGCTACGCGCCGTACGCTCGGGCCTGGTTCTGGTCGGGCGGCGAGCTGCCCTTACTCGCCGACCGCAGGCCCGTACTTACGGTGGCCGGAGATCGTCCCTCGATCCCCGACGCCCGTAGTGTCGCCAGTTGCGGCTGCTGGGGCGTGAGGAGGAGGATTGCTCCCTCACGCGGGCCGCCTCTCTCTTTGCGAGCATGACTGCTTCACAAAAGGAGGAGACGGCGTCCCAGTTCCTCTCACTCCGCACCATGGCCTCGACTAAGGCCGGGCGCGAGAGGTCGCCGCCACCGATCACTTCCCTGAGGATACGGCAGTGCTCAGCCCAGGCAGGGCATACCGCTACCGTATGCTCCACCGTATCCTCTAGGTGGTCCTCACAATGACGACACTCGGGCGTTTCCTCCCGCTGAATCCGAAACAGGAACCTACCGAAGCTGCCGTGCCCGGTAAGCACCTGCGTCAGACGGAAGGTGAGGACGCCGTGGCGTCTCTCAAGCCACTCCTCAAAGAGGGGTCTTACCGCTGCTATGGTAGCGTGCCCGGCCCTCGGTTGCGACAGTCGTTGTTTCCACTCTGCCATGAGATCTCGCCGGAGCTCATTCCGCCGCGCACTAATTTGGCGCGGCAGAGGATCTTCGCCCCGGCGACGCGCGTCTGCGCGCAAACTGTAGACGCGCGCGAGCGCCTTCGCTTCTAGATCCCACGGCGGTGATCCGGCAAGGAGGTTCGCCGCCTCCCCGGAGATCGTGCGATACCCGCGGATTACTCGAATAGTCATGACCCTCTGGGACGCGACCAGCGTACGAGCCGGCCGCCGCTTCAAGGCCGGCGCCCACACAGGGGCACCGTAGAGGGCCATGGATCGCACAATCCCCATATACAACCTCCGGCAGGAGGCGTTTGGCCCCCCGAGGTTGATCGAATTGTATGTTGGAGTTCTGATACAAATTCATAAGAAACGAAAGAGTTCTAGCCTTTAGCAATAGATCCAAAAGAGTTCTAGCCTTTAGCAATTATTTGAAAACATGAAAAATGAATTTTTCGACTTTTAAACAATCTACCATGATCTGCTAGCACCGGAACGTGAGTTCTGGACTCGAATCGACTTGTATAGTGGAGTTCTGATACAAATTCATAAGAAACGAAAGAGTTCTAGCATTTAGCAATTATTTGAAAACATGAAAAATGAATTTTTCGACTTTTAAACGATCTACCATGATCTGCTTGAACAAATTCATAAGAAACGAAAGAGTTCTAGCCATTACCAATAGACGCAAAAGAGTTCTAGCCTTTAGCAATTATTTGAAAACATGAAAAATGAATTTTTCGACTTTTAAACAATCTACCATGATCTGCTAGCACCGGAACGTGAGTTCTGGACTCGAGTCGAATTGTATGTTGGAGTTCTGAAACAAATTCATAAGAAACGAAAGCGTTCTAGCCTTTAGCAATTATTTGGATGGATGAAAGATGAATCATTCGACTTTTAAACAATTTACCATGATCTGCTAGCACTGGAACGTGAGTTCTCGACTCGAATCGAGTTGTATGTTGGAGTTCTGATACAAATTCATAAGAAACGAAAGAGTTCTAGCTTTTAGCAATAGATCCATCAGAGTTCTAGCCTTTAGCAATTATTTGAAAACATGAAAAATGAATTTTTCGACTTTTAAACAATCTACCATGATCTGCTTGCAAAGGAACGTGAGTTCTGGACTCGAATCGAGTTGTATGTTGGAGTTCTGACACAAATTCATAAGAAACGAAAGAGTTCTAGCCTTTAGCAATTATTTGGATGGATGAAAGGTGAATCATTCGACTTTGTTGTATTGTTAAAAAGTGGAAAAATTCATTTTTCATGTTTTCAAATAATTGCTAAAGGTTAGAACTCTTTTGGATCTATTGCTAAAGGCTAGAACTCTTTCGTTTCTTATGAATTTGTATCAGAACTCCAACATACAAGTCGACTCGAGTCCAGAACTCACGTTCCGGTGCTAGCAGATCATGGTAGATTGTTTAAAAGTCGAAAAATTCATTTTTCATGTTTTCAAATAATTGCTAAAGGCTAGAACTCTTTTGGATCTATTGCTAAAGGCTAGAACTCTTTCGTTTCTTATGAATTTGTATCAGAACTCCAACATACAACTCGATTCGAGTCGAGAACTCACGTTCCAGTGCTAGCAGATCATGGTAAATTGTTTAAAAGTCGAATGATTCATCTTTCATCCATCCAAATAATTGCTAAAGGCTAGAACTCTTTCGTTTCTTACGAATTTGTATCAGAACTCCAACATAAAACTCGATTCGAGTCCAGAACTCACGTTCCGGTGCTAGCAGATCATGGTAGATGGTTTAAAAGCCGAAAAATTCATTTTTCATGTTTTCAAATAATTGCTAAAGGCTAGAACTCTGATGGATCTATTGCTAAAAGCTAGAACTCTTTCGTTTCTTATGAATTTGTATCAGAACTCCAACATACAACTCGATTCGAGTCGAGAACTCACGTTCCAGTGCTAGCAGATCATGGTAAATTGTTTAAAAGTCGAATGATTCATCTTTCATCCATCCAAATAATTGCTAAAGGCTATAGAACTCTTTCGTTTCTTATGAATTTGTATCAGAACTCCAACATACAACTCGATTCGAGTCGAGAACTCACGTTCCAGTGCTAGCAGATCATGGTAAATTGTTTAAAAGTCGAATGATTCATCTTTCATCCATCCAAATAATTGCTAAAGGCTAGAACTCTTTCGTTTCTTATGAATTTGTATCAGAACTCCAACATACAACTCGATTCGAGTCGAGAACTCACGTTCCAGTGCTAGCAGATCATGGTAAATTGTTTAAAAGTCGAATGATTCATCTTTCATCCATCCAAATAATTGCTAAAGGCTAGAACTCTTTCGTTTCTTACGAATTTGTATCAGAACTCCAACATAAAACTCGATTCGAGTCCAGAACTCACGTTCCGGTGCTAGCAGATCATGGTAGATGGTTTAAAAGCCGAAAAATTCATTTTTCATGTTTTCAAATAATTGCTAAAGGCTAGAACTCTGATGGATCTATTGCTAAAAGCTAGAACTCTTTCGTTTCTTATGAATTTGTATCAGAACTCCAACATAAAACTCGATTCGAGTCCAGAACTCACGTTCCGGTGCTAGCAGATCATGGTAGATGGTTTAAAAGTCGAGAAATTCATTTTTCATGTTTTCAAATAATTGCTAAAGGCTAGAACTCTTTTGCGTCTATTGTTAAAGGCTAGAACTCTTTCGTTTCTTATGAATTTGTATCAGAACTCCAACATACAACTCGATTCGAGTCCAGAACTCACGTTCCGGTGCTAGCAGATCATGGTAGATTGTTTAAAAGTCGAAAAATTAATTTTTCATGTTTTCAAATAATTGCTAAAGGCTAGAACTCTTTTGGATCTATTGCTAAAGGCTAGAACTCTTTCGTTTCTTATGAATTTGTATC